CTCTTGGTAAGAGCATCAGCCAAGTTTTGTTTCGTACGCACAAAATCCACCACTATGGCCCCGTCTTTTATAAGACCGTTTACATAGCTATGTCGTAAACCAATGTGTCTAGACTTTCCGTTATATACATGGCTATATGCTTTAGCCAACGTTGCTGCACTATCGCAATGTATTGTGATAGGCGATACCGGTTTAGGCCATAACGGTATCTCGAATACCAGATTCCTTAGTCATTCTGCTTCTTTTCCCGCAGAAGCTAAGGCAATGAATTCCGACGCCATCGTCGAATCCGAAATGCAAGTTTGTTTCTTGGAGGCCTAAGAAATCGCAGCTTCACCTAGTAGGTACAGCCAACCACTCACCGAGGCATGATCCTCTTCACTAGAGTTCCAACTCGCATCCGTATATCCTTCTAACACCGAAGGTTGACCCGTGTAGCGAAGACCGTAATTTATGGTCTGTTTTAAGTATCGAAATACTCTCCGTACAGCATGCCAATGATGTACGCTTGGGTTACTAGTGTACCTACTCAACTTACCAACCGCGTATGCTATGTCGGGTCTAGTGCTAGTCATAGCATACATTAAACATCCAATGACACTAGCATATTCAAGTTGAGACACTGGTTCTCCTTTATTTGCTACTAATTTAGCATTACAATCTATCGGTGTAGAAACCGGAGTACTATCGTAGAGATCAAAACGTTTTAACACTTTCTCAATGTAGTGTGATTGAGAGAGGGAAATCGTACCGTGATCTCTCATTATCCTAATTCCAAGGATAACATCTGCTTCTCCTAGATCTTTCATCGAAAACTTCGATGACAAGAAATCTTTTGTTTTCTTGACTTGCTCTAATTCCGTACCGAATATGAGCATGTCATCCACGTATAAGCAAATAATAACCCCATGACCATTCTCGTCAAACTTGCTATATACGCATTTGTGCTATTCTAGCTACCGGTGCATATGTATCGAAATAATCGATACCTTGTTTTTGTCTGAAGCCCTGAGCTACTAGACGAGCCTTGAACTTATCAATAGTTCCATCGACTCTCATCTTCTTCTTGAAGATCCACTTGCAACCAATCGGTTTACAACCTGGAGGAGGATCTACTAAGACCCAAGTGGTGTTGCTCATGATGGAGTCCATCTCATCATGTATTGCTTCTTTTCAAAAAGCTACATCCTGCGATTTCATGGCCTCATCATACGTCCTAGGATCATAGTATTCCCCTCCCCTATCAATCCTAAGCTTAACCCCGAGTTGTAATTCAACCTCGGATTTATACGCTCTAAATCTATCTAGAGCTTCATCCTTCGAATGCAACAAGAACACATAGCAAAACGAGTAGAATCTTATGAACGTTACTACGTATTTCTTATTTCCTAAAGATGGTGTACCATGCAAGTCACATAGATCACTATGTACTAGTTCTAACATTTCTGAACTTCGTTCTATGCTAGAAAAAGAATGACGGGTTATTTTTGTTTTCATGCATGTAATACATTTTCCTCATTCAACGTGCATGGTGGAATTAAATCCATTTTCGACATAAAGTTAACACGTTTGTAATGAACATGTCCTAGTCTTGCATGCCACAACATAGACACATCGAAATCATCAACAACAAACGAAGAAGAGATTCGTCTGACATACCGTTGAGAATATGACCGCAACATACATAGTTTTTGTTGTCCCATTTGTTCTGTATACATACCTGCGCTAAATTTTCCTCTTCGGTCTCTTCCGGTCTGGGTGTGCTGATGACGTAGACGACATTCAGCATCGTCAACAAGAAGTGCATCTTCTTCTGCCACC